ACGGGGACAAGTACCATTGTGTGAACTGGCCATTTTTACTTCACAATCTAGTCGCAGGGACCAAACTTTGCTGCCTGCGACTAGTCCCACGAATTTCAAACCAGACTGAATTTTTGGGACAAGTCCCTTCGACTTGCTCCACGAAACGCTTCGTGTAAACTGTTCATGGGACAAGTCCCTGCAACCAGTCCCTTCGTGTAAACTCTTCAGGGCACTAGTCGCAGGCACTAGACTCCTCGTGTGTGCCGACCTTAAAAAGGCCTCATTGAAACATTCAAACAGTCGACTTATAAGTAAACAGTTTTCTCAATCAAAGAGCTATCTCCGGCTCGACTCTATTGCTCTATTACAACGAATAAATGAAAACCTTCATTTGGCGCGAAAATATGTTAGGACATTTGTCCGCAGACATGATCTGTTCCAAGAGGCGAACAGTCTTCCAAGAGCGTAGCTCGAGGAAAACTGAGATTTGAGGAACATATTATGTGCAAAGACAAATATCCGTGCGTCTTTTCGCGCCAAATAAAGGCTATTGTGTTTATTATTCTTCCCTTTTTTTTTCCGCAACACTCACCGTTTAAAAATTGGGAATATCACTTGGATATTCCCTAGATTTAGCTCGGGTATATTCAGTCATTCGCGTTTAACCCAGTCGCGACTAGTGAAACTATTTGATGGATTATAATGAGTGGTATCACAAAAAGAGGGTGTACGCTTTAGGCCTAGATAGATTCTGCTCAAAAAATGTTAAATAGTTGCTTAAAAATGTCCCCAAAAGTTGCTCAAAAGTTGCTTAAAATCGCAATAGTTGCTTCAAAAGTTTTTATAGTTGCTTGTGTTTTGTGCTTACCATTTACAGAAACCATCCGGTTGGAAATTTCAGGCAAAAACATTAAACAGTTGAATACCACGTTGCGAGAGAAGGAATCACTATAAAGTATATCCNGTGCTTACCATTTACAGAAACCATCCGGTTGGAAATTTCAGGCAAAAACATTAAACAGTTGAATACCACGTTGCGAGAGAAGGAATCACTATAAAGTATATTCACATCAGCTAGAGAGACTTAAGAGCAGAAAAATAGCGTCACTTCAAATCACACCCCATATTTTCAGAAGCTTCCCAAACGGAATGGCGCGAACCATTTGATTTTCCAACTGGAATTTGCGGTTTTCCCATGTAACCTGGATTGGATCTCTGATGTTGTTCTTCATCGGATTCTTCATTGTCAGAAGAAAGCGCCTTGCCGTTCGCCATTTTTGAGCTAGTTGTACCATATTTGGAATATTAACACAGAATACCCATTCTGGAAATGCAGTTACATCCGGCATATCCATATTTGGAATCTATCAACACAACATACCGAGCAAAACGCAAGACTGTTTCTAGTGAACTTCTTATGAGTTTCCAGAGAAAACGTGTTAAAATATCAATTACTTATGGATGTGACTTCGAAATAGTGAAAATATGCCAAAAATATGCTAGCTTTAAGAAAAGATGCTGTAAAGTTGCTCACTCTCCTAAAAGTTGCTCAGTATTGAAAAAGTTGCTCAAAATCGTAAAAGTTGCTTAAAAGTTGCCGAGCAGAATCTATCTAGGCCTAGTATGCTTTCGTTTGAATATTACGAACTCGAGATTTCTACGAAGGAGTAGTTGACGAAGCTGAGGGCTGGATCTCCAAAACGTGTAACATACCGCTGAACAGTGCTCACCTCTTCCAGATTAAAGATACCTTTATTACAACAATTCACTCTCATTTATACATTACATGTACATCTTTTGAAACATTATCGTGGTATAACAACTGTTGCGAATAGAGACCAATAGAGTAATTTCCTTTACGTATCAGGGCTTGTGTATTTCTCAGTCCTAGCTAGTTACGTAAATACAGATTGTCACAAACACATGAAACAACACATTAAAACTCGGATAAACATAGAAAAATTGTCTATTTACGTCGTTTATTAAACATACGATAAACTAATACATGCAGATACAATTCTGCAAACATTTTTACATGAATGACAAACAATACAGCAATAGGCCAATTTCGATATATTAAAATTCAGCTTGATAGTGAGGCCTAGATGACATAAACAAAAAGAAATGAATAAACATGGTCATTGAATTTCCATTGTTTATGTCTTCTAAGCCTCGCTGCCAAGCTGAATTTTAAAATATCGAAAGTGGTCTACTCTCGGTTGTTCCCAGGAGTCCTCGGCTTAGTTTCGTCTGGAAAGAGAGAGGTCCAGAGACTAGGCTGACCTTCACTATACTTGTTTCTATTTTAAGCCCCGGAACTTTTTTCCCCGCTAACTCAACAGTACATGCTTGCCTTAAACCGTCAAACCGGGAAAAATTTTAGCGATTACTTGTGTAATTTTGCCAATCAGATCTCAACTCCGAATTCATAGTGTAACGGCTGAAGAAAGGACAAAATATTAGAAAATTCCATTGCAGTGGAGATGATTAAAAAACTTAACTACTTTTGGACTTCCGAGTGGTAAGAAATTTTGAAAGCGAAGCAATTCGTATCTTACTTAAAAGCCAGTTGGTCTCGAATTACATGTCACATACAAGATCTGTCAGTGTTCATTCAAAAACAAAAACTCTAAATAGGCTTCTCAACGGAATATCATGGAAACAAAATCATTCTCAGTGCTGTGTTGGATTCAAGCGCCTTAGCTAGACCTGCTGTACCAGCATAACCAATGTCATTTGTAACTCCATTTCAACACTGTCAGTGTTGTGTTGGATTTAAGCGCCTCAGCTAGACTTGCTGCACCAGCATCACCAATGTGAAAGTTACTCAATTTCAACACTGTCAGTGTTGTGTTGGATTTAAGCGCCTCAGCTAGACCTGTTGCACCAGCATCACCA